AAAGGTTAGGCTGCCCATCTTTACAAAACAGTAGTCAGATGTCGGGCCTGACAACGGTGGAAATAGTTGAGTCGCATGACTACCTTTGCGCGTGAAAGTTATCGCGCGGGGCCGGATGTCTGTTCCTCCGAATGGTATGTGGCTATTGTAGCCAGGGTGACTTTTTGTTATAAAACCCCCCTCTTTCTTTCTTGTCCATGGTTCCTGTACCATGACTACATGTGCACCGGCATCCCATGCCTGCTGCGATGCTATATCCGTGTTTTCCCCACCTCTTCCGACATTCACTTGGTGAAAGTGGACGGTGTTGTACTTGTCTTTTGGTGCTTTTGTTGAGGGGTTTCCTAACATTAACACGACATTGTTGAGTCCTGGGCAATGACGGTTTCAACCGCCTTACCCTTCCTTTCAGAGTACGCTAGAGCAGCATGATAATCACGATGTCCGCGTTCTCTGATGATGTGAAGTTCTGCCGGGGTACGGGGCAGAATTATCCCGTTTTGTCGTCTTGGCCGGGCCATACAGCTGCCCTCATTTGAGTGGTGAGGTCCCGCGCAATTTGAGCACTTTGACACCTTTGCCTGGCACTCTGATGTCTCGTGGGTTCCCCCACATCTCCCACATCGTTGGCTCCGAGTACAGGAACGCGTTGTGTGGAATCCCCAGCAACGTTGGCATTGCTCGATTGGTCTTCGGCGCGAGAAGGGAATTGCTGGTCCGCTCTCGTCAAAGAGACGAAACTTTGTGTTTGCTGGTTTTTGTTGGAAATGAACAATCCAGCTTGTTGAGTATTGTCCAAGCTTTGTTTCTGTGGGCCTTACCTGGATTGGTGTGGCGCCGCATACAGCCTGGCATTCGTTCTTCACCATATCGTTGGTGACTGGGATGCTGCCTTCAAGCGTCCTGATGTACAATGGCACATGAGGTACGATCAATGATGTCCATTTGGACGCTTCCTCAATCACGGTGTTGTCTTCCTGTAGGGAAGGTGCAATCCTCATGATTGTATCTCTCAATGCATCTGATGCGCATTCGAGAGCGATCCCCGACCTGACTGGGTACATGGAGGTGATAGCTGAGGCTGCTATCCCAGCCTTGTCGGTTATTATTTTCTTGATCGTAACTGGCGAGAGCTTGTGCCAGTGGTGATCTCTCCCCAATCGAAGGAACAGGCGTTTGTCCTCCTTTTGGGTTGTCTGTGGTTTCGGGTGGCTTGATGGAGCAGGCCTTCGTGGAACTTGCACATTTGGTGGTGTCGGTAACTTGGCCGCTTTACGGGCTACTGTCACCCAGGCCGAGCTGGTGTCTTGAGGCTTTGGGGGTAGAGCGTGGCTGTAATCCTCAACAGCTGTATTTTTCCTAGGCGCGACTGGTTTTGGAGTGCTTGCCATGGTGGAGGGCTTCTTACTTGGAAAGTTAGATGCTTCTACCTGATCTACTGCGAAGGCAGTGATAACAGGCGTGATGTTTTCCAGCAGAGTCGCGACAACTGCTGCTGCTTGTTTCTCTCCTTTGCTCTTAGCCCAGGAGTCGATTAGTTCTAGAAATTCCTGGGCTATATCCAGTCTTTCTTTCCGTTGTTGTTCTGCTTTGTGCATTGTGTTCACAATGCCAAGCAGGCATGGGTGAAGTTGCCCTCCTGGATTGGAGGGCGTTGTCGATGACGATGCAACAGCTAGGGCCATTGCACCGATTGAAGATTCTTGTAAATAAGGGTAATGGGTGATGCGATGTGTTAGGTGTCGATAATCGAGGATCCATAATATCAATTGATTTTTTTAAAATTTCATTTTAAATAAGGACCTTTGTACATTTCCATTGGTGTTGAAAACCGTCCCCATTTATTTTGACTTTCACGGAATATTGATGGATAGTACCCCTGCTTGCAAAACTAGTCAAGTAACTTGACATGGGCCCGCATGAAGACTAAACCAAATAAGGCAATAAGTACAGGGATCTAACCCCAGTCACTTTGACAATTTTACCTATGCCATCCATAATAGACTGTAGATTGGTTTAGCCTTCATGCAGGCCCATATCTAGCTCGTCAACTAGTTTTGCAAGCAGGGGTACTATCCATCAATATTCCGTGAAAGTCAAAATAAATGGGGACGGTTTTCAACACCAATGGAAATGTACAAAGGTCCTTATTTAAAATGAAATTTTAAAAAAATCAATTGATATTATGATCACCGAAAAATTTTCATCTCACATTGCATTACCCATTACCCTTATTTACAAGTATCTTCAATCGGTGCAATGGAGGGCAAGACTGAACACCTGTACGTGGTGTCCTCTACGAACCTGGGAGTGAAATATTCTCCCAGAGCCAAGTTCAGTCAAATTTCGCAATACCAAAGAAGTTGGCCCACGAGGCAAAATTTAAAATTACTCCACCACGTCGTTTTTCCGCTCCCAACGAGTTTGACGCCTACCTAAGTCTCATCAAGTCTACAGGTACGACCTAGTACATCCTCATCCCAATGACCACACCTCTCTTCGACCTTCTCTGGTCTCAGCTGACCACCAAATACACGCCCACGCTGATATTTATACCCGACGGAGGAAGCAAAGCGTGGCGCACAAATCTGGGAAACAGTTCTTCGGGATGGACGTGAGAGGGATCAGGACAAGTTTACAAGATGATGCAAAGTAAAGATATAACTTCGAAGGGCATGAGATTCCGAACTTTGGCAGGGAGATTTACGAATTGAGCTTTGTGCGCGCCAAGACTTCGCTTGCGAGAGTGCAGCTGACAATATAAACACAGGCAAACGATGGAAGGTGTTGTGGTCCACCTCCTGGTGGTGTTCTCTGGTATAGCTTGAGTAGCCCGGGCACCTACTCCACTTGGGAAGGAGACACCTCAGATCACATATCGCGCGGAGAAAAGTTGAAAGATGATGGAGGCATGTCTGGATAACTCAGGGTTTTTGAGACGTTCCCCTGGGTGGGTATTCACGGATGAGGGTTGACTTGGGGTGAAGAAAAGCCACCATAACTTCGCAGTGGTACTTGCAAATGAAATCTAAGGCATGAGTGCTCTTCCTTTACGTTGAATCATCTATTCTGTACTTTTCTTTGATATTGTGTCATAGCTAGATAGCTGCATACGCAATTAAAATCTGATGCAAAAAAAAAAAAAAAAAGGAGGCTTCTTCCGAGTAATGCATCTGCTGTAACCTTTTTTTTGAGTGCATTAGAAATTAAATATTCTCTGCATCCCCAGTGGCTGAAGAGCCCCATTTCTAGTTTCATAAGGCGCATCTGTGGATTTTCAGTAGATTCCCGGGCGAAAGCCTCAAGCTCATCAACTTGTTCCGCGCTTAATTTAGGTGAGCTTCCTTTGCGGGACATAGGATTCTCAGTCTCTCGAGCATACGCAAGTTGTATTTGTCTTATTGTGAAGCCAAGTTTGTCGGATATATTTTGAAGTGTCAAGCCAAGTCTTCTTAATGCCCTTATTTCAATATATTGATCGCGAGTTAGATGCTTGCGAACTTTAGTTTCTGAAGCAGACTTTTGGAGAGACATTGTTTGCTAGAAGTGAGGATAGATTGATAGTGATGTTAAGTTTCGAGGACTAGGTGGGTCAGGCAGCCAAAAGTGTCGTTGAAAATGTGTTTTTCTAAGCGATTGTTAGAAGAAGACGATTGGACCATACGTCATGGCGAGCGGGGTGAGGAGGAGGGACATACTAACCTGTTACGAGCTAGCCCAGCTGCGCCTACAGGGCTATTCCCTTAAACAGCCCAGTTTGAAGTTTTACCTTTTCAACCCCGGAGACACTGTAATCAATATGTACGGGGATCTAGCCCCAGTCACTTTAACAATTATACTTTTGATACCCTTAAGAGACTGTGTTGCGATGCTTATTTACTGTATGTCGAATTACCAGAAGAAGTAGATTAGTTCGCTCATCCCTGTTATGATACAATTAGGGCACGTCTCCTAATCTCAACAACCAACAAAAACCGAGTTGTCGTTAAGCAAGTAATTACCCTCGTAGGGATCGTTACAATCTAAGCGAATACATGGCCGATCGATGTACAATCTCCACGCATTTGCATCCATCCCTCATCCTTGGTGATTCCCTTCCCCCAAAATGCGGTTAGTATTTTACAGTAAGGTTCACTATTGTCCAAGCTGTGAGGATAAGAACTTATCTTTCTCCACACTTACCACCACCGGGTTTCAGTTTAGCATTTGCCGTTAGTTCTCAAGGCCAGACAAATGCATTCTGTATGTCGGGATGTGCAACCTAAGACTAACAGCTGTGCGAAGAGAAGGAGTTTATCGAAGAAAATAACTTACACGACCTTATTTTTGATGACCATGGAGGGCGCCACAATGAAACACAAGCTCTGAGTAGAAGTTTAATCAGCAATGGTACGAAATTTAAACCAGCGGCCTGAACCACTGGGCCAGGTCAGCTGGCCACAACTTTGGAGAGGGCTGAAGGGTCAATGAGGGGAGTATCAGTGATACTGGATACACTCAGCTTTGATGAAAAATCTTGTATCAGAAACAGCCCATCAGTTCTACGGCCGCTACCCTTGCAACCTAAGCAGTCTTTGTTTTCCCCTAGGCGATAGTTAACAATAAGCATTTACTCTATATGCACGTCATATCATCATATCATCTATTCAACTAGGTTAGCCTATTTACAAGTAGACATATACCAGCGTCTAGCCCTATCTGAATTTAATATCAACAGCCATTCTTATTCTACCTCGTCTCAGACGCAAAGATGTTATTAGGTCTAGACAGAGAGACTAACCAAAATAAATCGGACAATTCATTGACTGTTTCCCAAAGCGATGTTACTTTTAAGCCAAAGTCTGCGGGACTACCGGTCAGTATATCAGAAGATGAAGATCATACTCAGTCTATCTTTCCGTCTGAGCTAGAAATATTCACCTTAAGAAGAGTGCCTGATCATATACCTTGGAGATTGTATACTATAGCTTTTGTAGAGCTGTGCGAGCGGTTCTCCTACTATGGAACAACGGTTGTGTGTCAGTAATTTACCCTCCTTTAGTAACTGGTCCCCACTCATGGATATAAACAGTTACCAATTTCATTCAACAGGCACTTCCCTTAGGCTCAACAACTGGTGCCGGTTTGGGGGGACAATCTGGCGCTCTGGGACTAGGGCAGCAAGCATCGACGGGAATAGGAATACTCAATCAATTCTGGGTCTATCTTACTCCCCTCCTCGGCGCTTACGTTGCAGATACATATCTTGGTCGTTTTAAGACTATCTGTATTGCCCTCGCTGTCGCCATCGTGGGCCATGTCATCTTGGTGATTTCGGCAACCCCTCCGATCATTGCACATCCCAAGAACTCATTGGCCTGCTTCCTCGTCGGGCTTCTTGTCATGGGCTTAGGAACGGGCTCTTTTAAGCCCAATATATCTCCGATGATCGCTGAGCAGTTGAACCTCACCGAGATGGCCGTCAGAACTCTACCTACAGGTGAAAAGGTTATCGTCGACCCCTTAGTTACGCAGAGTAGAGTCTACCATTACTTTTACCTCTTCATCAACATCGGCTCCATCGTTGGTCAGATCGGGATGGTATACTGTGAGAAATACGTAGGATTTTGGCTCGCCTTTTTACTACCCACCATACTGCTTGGGATCTGCCCTATCATCATGTGGTATGCGCGCAACAAGTACGTCCGCACTCCACCAGATGGCACTGTGCTAGCAAAGACTATCAGGCTTTTTGTAATGGGAAATAAGGGTCGATGGTCCTTAAATCCCATATCTACCTACAGACGCCTCAATGATGGCACATTCTGGACACTTCTCAAGCCTTCCGTAATTCCAGAATCTCAGCGTCCACCCTGGATGACATTTGACGATGAATGGGTCGAAGAGGTACGATGTGGTTTCGGAGCTTGCGCAGTATTTTGCTGGATACCACTTTATTGGCTAACTTACAATCAACTCAATAACAATCTGACTTCGCAAGCAGCAGTTATGCAGCTTCATGGTATGCCAAACGATGTGCTCTCCAATATTGACCCATTCACATTAATTATACTCATTCCAGTATTTGATATTTTTCTTTACCCGTTTCTTCGCAAGGCCAGAATTAGGTTCACGCCAATCAAAAGAATTACGGCTGGCTTCTTCATGGGATCGGCCGCCATGGTCTGGGCGGCCATTGTTCAGGCTAAAATTTACCAGAAATCTATCTGCGGCAATAGGGCAGCTGGAATTCTTCCTGCCCCTCTCGGTGGAGATGGCCGGATGCTGTGTCCACCTGCATCAATCAATGTCTGGATGCAATCTGGCTCGTATGTTCTCATTGCCGTTAGCGAAATCTTGACCAGCATAACTACACTCGAGTATGCCTTCTCTAAGGCGCCGAAAAACATGCGAAGTCTCGTCATGGCCTTCAATATTTTTATGACTGCTATCTCAGCTGCCCTGGGCGAAGCTTTCGTCGCCCTAAGTGCGGATCCCTTTCTAATCTGGAATTTCAGCGTCATGGCAACACTAAGCGCTGTGGGGGGCACTTGTTTTTGGTTGCAGTTTCAAAAGCTCGATCGTGAGGACGAATGAAAGTGGGTTTCCTTCGGCTCAGTGACCGTCATCTTCATCTGCGGAACGAAAGTCGGAAAATCTTTGGAACAAATCTTTGGAACAAACCTTCTTCAACTTGACTCGGTGCCATCTAGAGGATCTTTCCAAGTTTACATAAAGTACTCACCAAGCTCATTTGCTACCGCTGAGGCGCCAAAAACTGATTTAGGCTGCCCCATATAGCTTAAAGCACGTATAATTGGCCTAGTCTAATGGGAAGAGACTCCAGCAAAGGCAGGCTTTAAAGTGACCATTCAAGCTCCCATGTGCAGGCAGTTTATAAACAATGGGTAGCAAGCAACCAGATTTAGTCCTGGGTGGGTTTTAGGCGTACTTGGTACCAGAAAAATGCTGTTGTTACGTGAGTAGCTGAGATTGGGCAGGTGTAATATTATCATCAGCCATTTATCGTTGCAAAAATCTGTACTTGCAAATTTATTTACGAATGAAGTCTATGCGACCTTGCTTAGCTATTAGATTCATCTCGTTCCCGTATGATACATTTTAGAAAAATGAAATAGCTAATTAAAGCAATCTGAACTGGTTAAAAAATCAGCTTATAGTTATGCGATATCACTGTCAAAAAGACTGGGACTGAAAATATTTTTTAAGTCATAGTTAGGCTAATCCTATTACACTAGCATTCATAACAAGAATTATCGTGACTCTTTTCTCATTGCAGCGTATCTTATTAAATATACCTGGGCACAATTAAAGGCTAAACCTCATCACTCTGGGAAGTTATTGGATTTTTGAAATAAGTATCAAGGCCACCAAACTTGTACTGCTTGAGCTACAATTCTACATGTGATTAAAAAAAGAACAACAGAATTGTTTACTCATGTTATTAAACTTAATGTCAAATCCTCATTCATCATTCCTTGCACTCCTAATTTCGATTTCCCACCAACAACCGCTGGACCAGCGACTGCGATCTATGTATTTCATTAATTCTATCCAAAATATTTAAAAGAATACTTACTTCGCCACATGATAAAGTATTACTAGTTTTATGATTATCGCTATCCTGAAAGAAGAGCTCCAAGCTCGTAACTGGTGGCCCGAAATGGGATTTTTCAGGATCATCGGTAAAGCGGTAATCGTATATTCCGGTCTGAGAAACTGCACCAGCAACCTTTGATGAAGTGAGTGCATAAATTATGCGTGCTCTTGTGAAAATTCTAAGATCAGAAAGAATTAAGGATGATATTGGCTTGTCGATACCAGCAAGTGTGGAAATATATATTAAGCGTAATTTTCCGGGGGTGGCTCCGATAGCAGGTCTGAGTCTATCGAAAAGTTTTGAGAGGAATGATGTCATTGGCATAACACCATATTTTAACAGGCAGCACGTTTCAAGCCAATGGACAAATGAATAAAGCTTTGATGACAGTATTTCCTTAACCTCGCTATGAAATTTCAACATTGTCTCGCTAGAAGCAACGATTATAGTCGGAGAGATGCCTCTAGTTGCCAGAGTGAGAGAAGGCGAATGAGATGCGACAGATGTAAGAGCCACGGATGAGTTAGAGTAAAGAGCAGAGAGAGTGAGGATTAGTGGGTAAATGGATGATAAGCAATCAATTGGAAGGAAAAGGTCTGAAGTTGTAAAGCGTTGGTTAGTAGGAATAGCCAGCTGACCCGATATTCCTGCTACAATATTGGCATTCGTATATTCCACCAATTCTCCAGAATCAAATACCACTACATTTTTCAGCTGAGACGATGTGTCTGCGACTGGTAGGTCGTTTCCAGCGGAAGGTTCTTGATCTTGAATAATCTCTTGCCAAGTAGATACGTTAACACTGCTACCTGAGCCAGAGGGAATATCATTCCAGTCCATGTGTTTATTACCTTCGTCCACGACCCAGATAATATTCTTTAAAGTCGGGCAGTTTTCGTGGACAGAGTCGAATGGGAAAGAACCTGCTGCCACAACGAGTGTATCGGCATTAGATTTCTTCAATTGAGAAATGATGTCATCGCAAGATTGATCATAGGTGAGGAGCACAGCAGTTAGATGATAAAATGAACAGGCAAATAGGGCAGCCAAGAATTCGATCGAGTTTGGTAAATAAATAGCAACACGAGCGCCACCTTCTTGTCTCATGTATTTTCCAATCAAGTTTATTGCTCTTGTTATATCAGCTTGAATTTGAAGTCTATTAGCAAAATATAAGAATCGTAAGATAAGTTTCATACCTCGATCGTGCTCGGTGATCTTGTCGGATCCTAAGATCGTGTAGAACTTCCCACTTATGCCCGTGTCACTACCTTGCCTGTCTTGAGCACCACTGACAACTTTTCTCCAAACATCTCTTAGATCGCCATCTTTTCCTTTGGCCCATTTTGAAACACCAGATACTTTGATATTGAGCCCACTGTTTAGGGGTCCACCATGGGGAGCAGATAAGTTTCTGAATACAGCGGACTCGCCTTCTTGCCTAACTTGTGATGGGTGAGACTGCCTTGCAAGGAGGAAAGGATGAGCGTCTGGATCTCGATGGTTAATGATGAGGTAGAAAAATGAGAAGATGGAGCCAGCGAAAAGAACAGTTGAGAGGAAATCCCATCTCGAGATAATACTGACGACATACTGGTCAAGCTTTAAAAGTAAGTTATCCATGTTGCAGCATATGACTGCGGAAAACTTTTAGGTCCTCAATTAATAGTTGAGTTCGTAAACTTGATCCATGTTTCCAGTCGGCGTCGTTACCTGAAGCGACACTTGGATTCCAGCCCAAACTCTTAGCTAATCAAACTTGTATTCGCTTCAGCGGACCGGCCCTTGGGCCACTCTAAACACCCTACGCGTAATGCAAATTTATGTCACCTTGAAGTAGAACTGTTTCCATGAAATTTTTCCGCAAGTGAGAATATTTGATTTCAAGAGGTCTACAGATTTTCAAAAGTATTCGTCACTCATGCTTTGATGGATAATCCACAACCCTCGACGCCATCAGGTCTAAATTCGCACTCAACACCTCATACCGGTACGTGGCAGCATCCAAGGCTCGATGAAATTGTTAGAAGACAAGATGCCACGAGCTTCCAAAAGCAGAACATAAAGAGAATAATGTACAACATTGGTGGTATAGTGGCTATTTATTATCTATGGCGAAAGTTAAACAGCACGTATGTCAATTGTTACTATGCAATATAAAGCTAATCATGTAGATTACCATTAATTATCCAAAATGACCTATCAATCAACCAATATGCTAGATATCTACTTTATTTCCTACAATCAATTTTTTTTTACAATATTGTCACAGCCAGCCTTCCTCTTTTCCGGCAAACAGACAATCTTGCAGATATACCTTTGACACCAGCCCAAAGAAAACTTTTAGGGCTTTCACCGCTTGCAACGCCTCCAAAATTTAATCCACAGTTCAGTACTCCGCCCAGATACGCCCGAACATCTACACCCCTTAGCAGGTCACCTATACATCGAGATAGGAATACTGGGATATCTACAGTCGATAGGGACGTTATAATACCCGGGAGCTCTTCTGGATCCCAATTTTCACCACTGGGGAGATTAAGTGGCAGTCTCAACAGTAATCGAAGATCTTCAACCGGGTTTAGTTCTCTTGGGCCGGGATTCAGTGTCTCCCAAGAGATACCCGGATCACCAACCCCCAGTCATTTAAAAGGATCGGTACCTTTGAACAATAAATGGTTGTACGATAGAGGTAGGAAAAATTCCGGGCCACCAACACGGCTGTACACATAGAGGTTATATAGAAATTGTAATATTTAGTAATATTGTGCGCTTAACTAATTACGTCGGTTTGTCCGTCAATAGTCTAGAGTATTAGTATATGACCAATGGAGACAAATTAAGAACATAATCCAAATCTGTTTAATCGGAAGTTACATCCAAATTTATCACAACTCTTTGAATGCAAATCTTCTATTGTGAGTGACATGTGTGAACGTCATAAACTGTAAAACTCAGCTACTTGGTCTGCTGGAGAAAAAAAGTAATCTTGCGTTGTTTAGCTTCATCTCAAGTCTTCTGGAACGTTTGTGTTAAACACCCAAAATGCAGGTCTTTCTGCCCTTGTCGATGTTTGTTTGTTGACAGATGTAACTAAGCTCATTGGCGATGTCATACCCATGCCACATACAAAACCTTACCGGCCCTCTAGAAGCTGCTACTTGGCTCTCATCGGATATGGACAGCACTATCACGTGGAGATTAGAGACGAAGCTTGTTTGTGCCATTCGCGATAGCCCGCTGGTTCTTAATCCACAAAACATCATATACGTCTCCACATCGACCTATGATAGGTCCAATCAAATATGGGAGCATCAGATTCGAAGCTTGTGTTTAAGAAGGGCATATTCCGACTCTCCGAGGATCAAGTAATTCCGGCAGATGATCCCTACTGGGCTTCTGTGAGATAGCTTCATCCTGATTCTACTATGAGCTAACACTCTCAAGTTCTGGGAGCTGCCCGAATCTCCCGAAGATATATTCAGCCTCTTTTCCCCAAACGATATCAGGAGGACTCGGGACACCTCACTGGAAAATCTGGAAACACTTATACTAGCTATAACGAGTCGCCTCTTTATTCTCAGAAACCATCCTTCATTTCCGGATGCAGAATTTGCCCCTGAAAGAGACGCACTAAATTGTGTGAGGATACTTACAAGAATACTGCCATTTATTTACGAATCAGAGTCGCTTCGGGAATGGGAAGACAAATTCTTTTGGGGTGTGCGTAAAAAACGTACAAGGTATGCAACATTTAAGGAAGAGATATAACTCAAGCTGATTGCGTAAAGGAAAGCAGCATTGGCTAGAGATGTCCTCTTTGATGAATCCCCGGAAGAACTTGCCAAGCTTGAAGCTGCCGTAGAAGAATTTGAGGTTGTCAAGCCGTTAGCAGAGGAACTAATCGATACACTAATTGATATGCTCTTTTTCGTGGATTTCGCCCTCCCAAGGACAGCTGGTAACAATAACAAGGTCACGTATGCTATATGGCAGAGTGGAGTGGGCTGTAACAGCTCAATTGGAACAAACAAAGAGTTTGAGAGCAATAGAACGGAGATCTTAAGGCTGCTCTTAACTTTAACTAGTCAGAGCATGTATTTGCCTGCAAATCTACTCCCGGTTAAGGGGGTGAAATCTATATCATACATCGTTACATGCCCCGATAAGCAGGTCGTTTTGTCAGTGCTATGCTCGCTACTAAATACTGTATGTGATAAGTCCATGGAGGTTTTTTCACTAAATTATATTAGACCCTCAAATATAATCCAGTCTCATGGCGGGTGCCGTATAATGTGCAGGTGTTCCGAGACCCAAAGCAAATACTAGTTACCTATGCTCTTCAAGTAGGTCAAGTTGAGTGATAGATGAACTAAGGCTATATTCTAACAGTCATTTTAAGTTTCTACTTGTTATTCTGCTGTATCCAATACCAGAAGGCGATCCAACAGAGGGCAAAAAGAGTAAGTATTCTAGGTCCAAACTTAGAACTTACTGATACATGATAGACTTTTTTCGCCATTTTCTTGGTCGTTTGCATCGGCCCCAAGATTTCCAATTCATTGTCGATGGAATGATCAGAATACTCAACCAACCACTGTTAGCTAGCACTTCCTATATACCAGGAAGCCAACATCAAACAAAACTAACTTCTGAGATGATAATGCTTTTCTGGGAAATAACTCAGTGTAACAAACGCTTTCGATCGTTCATCATCGATACTGGTCGCTCACATGACTTTCTTGTACTAATTGTCTTCTACTCTATCGAATTTAAATCGGATAGCTCAAGACAAGGAATTGTGCGTATGTGTGTATTTTTATTACAGACTTTGAGCGTTGAACCGAATTTCGGAAGAAACCTTCATAAAAGATTTGAGGCACAAGAAACATTACCACCCACGATTCGCTTACAAAACTTCAGCGGTACCTATGCTGATTTCCTTATCCACGTAAGTTACATGAGATATTTCTAAAATTTTCTGATAAAATGTAGTCCATTTACAACATCATCACTACTAGCAAAGGAAAACTTGCCGCGATATATCCAGCGCTTCTCGCTGTGATTAATAATATTGCTGCATACCTTGAAGGTCTCAGCTTTACTGCATCTACGAAGCTTCTTCAACTCTTTTCGTCAATGTCATCACCTGGATTCTTGCTGGCCAATGATTCCAACCACTGTCTACTTCAATCACTTCTTGAAAGTATCAATGCTATTATTGAACATAAATTTAGTAGTGAGTGCAAATATTTTTCACCTTCAGTTACCGTAATACTTTCAATTCTTCAAAATCGCAATCAAAAATTTATTATACTTGATAACTAGCAACATTGCTGTTTCAATGTAGTCAGGAGATGAATTTCACATCAAAATACTGAGTCTTATATATTTTTCGGGCTAATCAACACTACAGAAAACCCAAATCTAGTCTACGCTATTTTGCGTAACAAAAAGCGATTTGAAGGTAAGCTAGCATCTCATTGACCGTGGTAATTTTTTAATTAATACTTCCAGCCCTCAGGTCCTTTACACTTGAAAGCGGCCAAGAAGAAATATCCCGTTTAGCGCGGCAACGTAAAGAACGCGCAAATTCTGCTACTGAGCCATATGCTTCAAGTCGTCGAAATTCTTCAGATAGTATACGTAGTCCTTCAGTCAATCATGCACGTGCATCAGCACTCAGTGATGTACCAGAAGAAGAGGGTGAATTTGCCATTGGTTCTGATGATGATGAAGATCATGATGACGGGAGCCCTACGCCTACTACCAGTTCATCCAAAAATACTAAAACTCACTCCAGAGTATCCAGTATTGCATCTGAATGTGATGATGCATTGCCAATTCAGTTACGAGGAATGTCGGAAAAGGCGAGAGGCAAGATGCCTGGTAAGTATAATTCCGCATCCTTTGCAAAAATCATTTAATAACATCCAAAGCTGGTGTGCCTTCTTTCTCTCGGCAAAACAGTATCACTTCACTCTCTTCGTACAGTATTAATAATACTGGTAGTCTCGATTTTGAGCCAACGTCAGATTGGGTCGCTTCCTGGGTTTCTGAGCTTCCACTTCACACTATTCTCCATATAATTAATCATTTATCTCCACTATTTCCACCAACTACCCGCTACGCATCAGATTTTGTCCCAATCAGTGACATTGCAAAGATTCAGGCAGCGGTCATTGCGGGCATAGAACCGTCGCCAATCCGAATGCAATACTTTGAATGGTCTGCATTAAGTTTAGGATGGTATGAAAGTTTACTCTGGGGATTTGTGTATGTTTCTGAGCTACAGATATCGAAAGGAACTGTGGGAGTCTGGAGTGGAACAGTTGTCAAATTATTTCGTGTCGAAAACACAGCTGCTGCCGGTCCAAGTCTCAGCTCTCCCAGAGGTGCGGTCGATGCAGTCGGTAGCAATATCGTATCAAGAATTGGAGGACTTAATCTTCGTCGAGTTAGTAGTGTTGGGCTTGATATTAATCGAGAGGAACGGCCGCCAGTCAGTCGGACCGGGACTGGCGATGGCCAGCGACCAGGTCTGGTTAATCTAAGGGGCTCCATTTAAGGCTTGTCTGGATAACCCTCCCACTTATCTCTCCGTTATCTAGTATTTACTCGTCGCTCAGCGAGCACTGGAGTTGGAAGGAATACACACGCCCTCTTTAATAGCGCCCAGAGCTTTCACAACTTTCTCTCGGGTCCACAATCAATTGCGTGTAGGTGTGATCAATCTGGTATAAACCGCCAGTTATGTGACTACTGCTACGTATGATGCGCCCCTAGTCACATCATCATTCTATAGCTTGATCAAAGTGAAGGCTAAACATGTCCATTCGGATTTCCCGTGTAATTTTTAAGCTCGTAAAGGTCACAGAGCGGTCGTAATACTCAGCGTAGCAAATTTCATGAACGAAGCAAAAGTTAAGCTTCATGATTGAGCTGTTACTGGCGGGTTACACGCGGAGAATCACACCCCGTCTAGCTCCCGGAACATGGCCAAGCTACATTCTGTGGTGTTCTCCGGAATGATTTGAGTAGCCTGAGCACCTACTCCACTTGGGAAGGAGACGTCTCAGGCCCCATTTCGCGCGTAGAAAACTCAATGGATGATGGAGGCATGTCTGGATAACTCAGGGTTTTTGAGACGTTTCCCTGTGTGGGTATTCACAGATGAGGCTTGACTTGGTGTGAAGAAAAAGCCACAATAACTTCGCAGTGGTACTTGCAAATGAAATCCGAGGCACTGATGTTCTTTTAAATTGAGTCATCTTTTCTATATTTTTCTTCGGTATTTTGTTAAAGCTAGATTGCTCTACGCGCAAATAGAATCTGATGCAAAAATAACGAAAGGAATCCTCTACTCCAAAGACCGGTAATAATTCTCTGGTGGAATTCCCACTAGTTATGTATAATCTAGTTTTTAAAAGTTTTGCGTGCATGGGTAGTGCCATGCTTTGATGACCACGAAATTATGCGCTAAAGTTGTGGATATGCCTATATAGAGCGGACTCGTTACAGCGACATGATACTGTGAAACTGTTTTTCAATCGATTTTTTTGAATTTCTCTAGTTTAACGTCCTACGTGATATCTATATTCAGAACCATGTCAGATTTAGTCCTAATGTCTGTAATAGAAGAGCCCCGCATCCAGTGATTTTTGCCATTTTTCCCCGGCTGCCATACACTCGCAACTTGTCGTCGTTTTGTTGGCTGGAAGGAAGTGATAATGAAGGGCAAAGGCCTCATTTAAGTGTATGATTAAACGAGGACTTGCGAGGGGCGGTACTGTTTGAGTGGAGCTGCACGGGAGGCATAGGAGGGGATATAGTACTAGTATAGTTATCCTTGGCATGTAGGCAGAGAGGACCTGCATGTCCTACATAGTCATAGACTCAGATAGGACAATAAAATGAATTTAATAAAAAATTTCAGAACCATGAAGACGATAAGCCGCTTTAGTAAGGGAAAAAGTTCTCAACGAGTAAACCCCGATATCCTGCCACTCTGAACTGACCCGGCTCAATGCTGAGGCCGTTCCTTTCAACCACAATTAAATAAATTTCCCCAGAATTCGTTAACTCCTCCTTCAATCAGACTAACGTTAAGAGAAGTTAAAAATAGAAGACACCTCCTCACTCGGCGTTGGTCGTCGAAGTGTCTGATGAGTCGGCCCCGATGGTGGTGCTGCTGTCGAGGCGATGATTGGTGCCGCTGGGGCTTCGACTACCTTACGCAGTCGTCCCGGCCCCGTTTTGAGTCCTTCGGCCTTCTTACTGGTGACCAAAGTGAACCCCTAACTACTAGTCATCCCGACTATTCGCATTGGCGCCATTGTTGGTTTTTTCTTCCCTATTTCCGCCATTCTCGATAACAGCTCCATGCGAGCCTTCTCCACACTTACCTTGTTGACTTGATAAGTCCGACACGTTGATTTTTGCCTCGAACAGTATTCCTTGCCGCAATTTGCACAAGAAACTCTTTTCTTCGGATACTCCCGAGTTTGATGAGCACCAGCGCACTCACCGCACCTACCTGCCTTTCCACACGATGCTTGCGTGTGTCTTCACCGGCTGCAGTTGTAAAACTGCTTTGGCTGGGCTCGTAGTAACCACTCCTGCGCGGTGAAGAACATGGCGTTGATGACAAGGTCCCGTCGAGCTGTTTTCTATCATTATAATTTCATATCGTTTTAGTGAACTTTATATCACGTGATACGATATATAAATATATTTCATAACTTAGTCCGCTCAATTAATTTCTCACGCTTCTTCGCACATGAAACGTGATATCGTTCTATTTTATGGATTATGTGAACCAGCTATCTTGTGACTCTTGCCTTCTTTTAAGCGCTGCCTGTTGCTGGAGGCGTGTTTGCATGCGCATGAGTATCGTGAGCTCCATGGAGTGTGCATCTGGTTCATGCTCCTTGAAGCTGAGCAGGCACTTGAGACGATCGAGTGCTTGATTAATCGTAACAGGCGGCTCAGCTGCCTCCTCATTTTCATTCTCCTCCTGCTGTGGCATAGTATGTGCTGCATTGATATCACTAGGCGTGACCTCCTCCACCTCAATGTCGTCTTCGTCGGCAAGACTACAGATTGTCAGAGCAGCCTTATTCTCTCCAATAGCGATAACAGGCACGCTTCCTGCTTCACCATGGCGCACTCGTTTTCAGTTGCTGTGACGCATCTTGAAATTTTGTAGCTACCCAGCGAAAAAACTCTGGTTTGGGCTGGTTTTTGTTATGCTCAGCTATGTAGTATGGTATATCTAGTAGCTGGTGCATAGGTAGTTATTATGGCAGCATGGCATTATGGCGCATGGAGGAGATCCAGGCTCTACATAACGACATTACAAGTAGTAAAGTGTGCAGTGTGAGAGATGGGTTGTTGACATAGGATAAAAGACATGGCTGCTCAGTTGGAAGCACACTTTGGTGAGCGGCTTACTGGTAACGTGATCGGTCTACAAGCGATCAAGCTAGGAGATATATATATAGTTCATTTTACCTGATTTGGCGCATTGAGGCCCATGCAGGTTTTTATCGGAAGATATGCTCATTAAGTAGGATGACTCAATTTGACGATTAGAACACTCACACTCAGATTTCATTTGCAGATACCACTCGAGGTCAACCCTTACGGCGAATAACCTCTTCCGTGCATACCCACCACAGGGAAAAGCGTTAAAAACCTGTTGCTATCCGAGTGTGCTTTCATCATTCCACAAGTACAATATCACCGCGAGAGAGTGTGATGTGTGGGACTAACTGGAATCGAACCAGCTTTCTCCTGTCTCGAATGGGGTGGGTGTTTATGCTACTCAGTATCTACTTGGGAGAACGGCCCGGATGGTGTACCACTGCACCATCCAACCCTAAGCAAGGGGATAAGGGACGAGCTTCCCCTAACTTGTAACATAACAATTATCATAGAAACTTCACTTCTGCATATTAAAGAAGATATCTCTCCACAAACTGTCTTAGCTGTTCCAGCGCAAGTGTACATTCCCAAATCATGTACCAATTATAATAAGAATTCGTTTTTGCCGGCACTAGTTTCCTTTACTTGACTCTGCTTGCTACACTACGCGGATATTAAACTACTAATATGAAAAGTGCATTTATAACAGCGTGAAAATTTTCCAGCCCAGGAATCTACCTTTCCAGTTTCTCCACTCGCCATGCTGAAGCGCAGCATTAAAATTATATTTAACCTTGTAGAATGTGCCGGTAAATACGGTAGTGTAAGAAGGCTTTTGCTTGCAAAAATTTGGATCTAATCTAAGAGCGAAATTAGAATCTATATACAGACATATTGGACTAGTGATGATGTCCAAGAGCATGAATGAGAGATTATCAGATATCAAAGTATAATGATTGACTAGAAGCAGTAGTCATCCATTATTTATTCTTTTATTCGCTCTTGTATTTTGCCTATTCATATGGCACACAAATGAAGCCGTCCGTAAGTTGTACAGGTAGCAAGAATTAAACAACGGGATAACGCTCGTAGAATACGGAGTCACTTTTGACCATGAATGATATTTTTCCTTGGACAATTAGTTAAGCCGATAAAATAAGACACGCATACTTCTTTCCGATCCCTTCAACACTGTAAAGAAAGCATATTGATCAGACTAGAGTTACTTTTGGGTATAAGGATGAATTCAATCGATTGGGTCACACATTAGGGATATCTGTATTCAGCGAACTGGAATGTAACTCAAACAAAGAATACAAGGCCAGTGATATTGAGTCTGATATTTGCTGGGCCGCAGGCATTATGTTAGCGGATTAGATAGAGTTGTGACTACAAAGATACCACCCATGGAGACGGGACATGAGGCATATTCTTATCTAGACCTTGTTATACTTTTTAGGCGCTGGGCAGTAGACGGATCAAACTGAAACTTTCGTGCCTTTCCGTGTGCCGGCACTTCGAAAATTCTAGACAAGGCCAGATGGTCCGCAGCCTTAAGTGTAGTGAAATGCTCGGGCATTATGTCAAATTGAAAATAGAGGAAAAATTGATAAAGCCTTCTTGGATGCGTCTAAGGAGCGAACATGGTGATTTTCTATATCGAAGATATTGAAATGCCAACAAACTTTCGTTGTACTCTTCATATAGTACGGAAAAATAAGTTATTTGGTGGTCCCAGTACCTCTCCGCTATAACTAGTTGGTTGCCTCTTCTAATTCGATGGTAAAGAGGATCCCACTAAATAGCTGGAGGCAACATGCAGGATTGATTAGAGACGAATTACTGAAGGGGAATCACGCCTTGAATCCTTCTGGAGACGACACGTAGGTAGATCATTTGTGTGTCAACTATATATCCAGGCTTGGAGCAACATAATAGGCTTCTTCGGATAGTTGGTAAGCTTCCAAGGTTCCACGGGTTCAGTCAAAGATAATCCTTGCATTTCATAAAGCCTGAACCTGCCCTGTGATCTGAAGAAAGAAGAAACGGCCGATCGATAGGGCTACTTCACGCGCAAGAGAGAATCGACAATGGTAAAAAGGCAGTATGTAGCACTCGAGGCGATATTTCGTGCGAATGAAACTCGTGTCCTGAGGTGGCTCGGTGCCTTCGATGATCCCCTTGTTCCAAGATAGTCTACTATTCATGGCGAGCTGGGAATCATTCCCCGCTCTATACTTGATTGATGTAGTTGCGCCGGCCACACCAACGTGTCTACGCATTCAGTATGACAGTGCCCTCCACGGCTTGGTTTGCGAGAGTGTAGTCAAAAGTGTGAAATAGACATAGCTGAATGGTTCAATGGTATATGATCCGGGCTGATCTGCTAAGTCTAGCATGAATGGCTCGGACGCTTATTCCGCCTCGGACAGAAGATCGCCGATTCGAATCCAGGAAGCCTGACCATGTTCCTCACAGTACTGCTTCTCAAAAGTGACAGAGGCATGCTTGGATAACTAAAGTTTTTGAAACCTACTTTTGGTGGGTTTCCACGGACGAGGTTCGACTATTCTATGTAAATGAACATGCCTCATTGAGATTGTTTGAATTTATCCAGGGTGTGATGGTCTATAGGGCCAAGAGGATCGTTTGATGTGTATAAAAAGCACTTGTCATCTGTCATAGTTGTGTAACTGGGTACTCACTATGTAGTATAATATGCCAGCATGATCGAGACGCCGACCCAAGCGATAGGTCGCAGCTTATAATCCTAGCTAACCCTAAAAAGGACTAAGCCGCCGTGTGGAACAGGGCGCTAGTAGGGCAAGCTTTCATCTCGGAAAAGGTACCGTGTTGTCAGAAGACAACGGCAGTCAGAACTGGTTCTACGAGGCTTCGCCAAATGAATCAGAGGTCTACATTTGAAAAGCATAAGATCCACGGACGACTGATGGCGACACAGTGTGACACGCCAACGACGTCGCCTCTCCCCTCAAAATCTTCGAGTTCGTAAGGCCCGAGAATCTATCTGATGACCAGAGTCCTCTTGCCACGTCTCCTAGTTATACCGACGCAGCCTGTGCGCACCAAAGCTAGCCCCCCCCAAGTCAGAAAAGGGCTTCGTATTATGATGATGCTTGAAACACCTACCAATGTGTTTACCGGTGACTTAGTACTAGTAATAGCGCCGTTGGAGCTAGAATGGATCGTATTGGTTGCAATAAAACCCCGGAACTTCAACCAGCCAAGATCAGCAGACCACACCAGACTGCATTCAAACATGGGACCTGGTCACGTCTGATCTTCCTGGAGCCCCACTGTAAGCCTGTGGAATTTCTAGATCCTCTTTAGTCTTAGCCATGACGCCCATAAGTGCTTGGAGCACTCGTCATTTGCTCGGAAAGGACGAAGCTTGCACATCTGCGGGTGGTGAACGCTACAGATCCGGAAATGAAATATTCTTGATTCGAGATTCAGTCACGACGATGGGTGAATTTGAGAGCTCAATGATAAGCTAGTGATCACGAGAAGTAACGTTGGCCCCTTGCCTATGGAAAACCCGATGCGAAGGGATTCAAGAACGGCAAAAATCACAAAAATCAGGCATTTTTATCTCAAATACAAGCCGTTGACAAGCTAACCCCTATTTTTGGCTGATACCCAAAATATTTAAGCCTGTTCACGACCTTGATTTTCCTACGATTCTCTCCAACATTATCTCCATACCTACCGAAACACGGCAGGAATCTAAAGGTTCAAAATTCCATCAAGTTTGCGGAATAACATCCACGTTTCCTCAAATGCTACGTGCTTTGGAGGTAGAGTCGAAGTGCAGTCTTTCAATTCGTCTTAACCTCGACGAAGGGCGCTACTAATATGACTCGCAACAAACCGCTATTGACGAAATATGCCCAAAATTTCATCTGAAAATCGCCAGAACATTTGATTAAATTGGGAGCATTAGTTTCTAGATCTTGAGCTTTTATCCGCTTATTCGTCCTCCGAGGCTGAGGGTACGATGGCGACGGGGCAAAGCTTGAGGGATGGAAAGCTTACATGTTTTCTAGGATGTAGAGATTGGCGGAAATGTAAAGGGGAAGCCTGAATAGAGGAATAAAATTGAAGGTCCTGCTGGACGGTTGGATGAGACAAGATGCTGGGACGACGTAATCATTTGGCTAAAAAAAGGAATAACCAAAGATTGTAAATTTTCAAGGGCTCGGGCGCGTGGCGTCCGAGTTAGGAACATGAGATTGGGCGCGTCAAAACTAGGTTTCCCGGACCGTCGGACTTATGACTCGCAATATGGATGAGGTCTGAGTTGGTCCAATGATTCAAGTGGGACGAGGTTAAACACTTAATATATGTTAACCTGATCCTGCCCGGCTCCACTAGAGCTCGAGCTTCATGGAGTGGGGGCCAATTGCCTCTCAAGTTAACGTCCAAATAAAAGCCCCTGCCGAAAGATTTTGATGCCAGTACTAAAATCCTTCCGCCTTCCCTCTAGTTTTCACTCCCCATTTCCGTGATGATTCATTTCCACAGGGTGTGAATGGGTACCTGAGTCGCAGATCTGACTATTATGGAGAACTTGTGGGCTGGAGGAGTATCAACTGCGGGGAGATGATCTCCTGTTAGATTTGGTAGTTTTTGTGAATCAGAAATAGCGGGCGATGAAATATATTTGAAGTCTTACACCGTGGTAAAATCTTTGCCGATCCATTGAATCGTTATTTTTAACCTTGGACTATATACGCCATGTAGGGCCTCTCTATTCATGAGTAAGGGATACCTATAATTCAGCTAGCCTGTGGCCTGGTATACCTCCACCACTCTCATGTAGTTACCTCATCCTTCAAAAGCCTTCATTACCGCAAATACTTTGAGGAGCCCTAAAACATTCATTACATTCCTAAATTAGCCGCCGTACCGAATGATATTTTCAGGATCATGATATCCACCAATTATTGCGAAGGCCAGTGTGTGCGAGTGACTCCTTACGTTGACATTAGAACCAGATGTCAAGACACAGTTGCCTTTTTAATGTGAGAGACTGGATTATCACGCACTGCGGACCTTTAACTATTACCCAAGTCTCTTTTAACCTTTTCTCGTTTGCGACTCCTAGGTATCAGAAACATTTGGAAAGGGGGTTTATACTGTGTGTTGAATTATAAGAGCGTTGGTCAAACATATTTATCCCTGTACCTTAACATAACGGAGTTATAGTTGTGATTATTATTTGCATAGGAGTAAAAAGGTAAGGCGTTTGGAGATCTTATATATCCTGTATAAGTAGTTCCATATTTGCGTGTAGATGAGCCTAGTAGTGGAACGTTGGTACGAGCTAGGCTGCAGCATTCTTAGGGAATGCTGAGACTGTTGTAACATTACACGTTTGTTTAACCCTATACTTTATCGAATCTACTTCCAGCCACACTATTATATCCATCTGAAGGAATCATAATCTAATACTGTGAGACAACCTAATCTACTTGCCCTTTTATTAGTAGACTTGAAGAGCTCTAGTACTTAATTTGTGACTTAATTTCGGTACTATAGGCTCGTTGACCAGAGTTGGAGGTCGATACGAATATGGCTGAGAGTAATTCAGTCTTCGCTTCCATCATATAGATGGTTGGCCGCCTGAAATGTTGAGGATGGACCCTTAGACTTTAATTTATCTACCTCAGCTATTTCTAGCCTGATTTGCAAAACAAATTCAACTCCGAGGTACTCTATAATCAAAAGGCTCGTAGAGGATACCACTAATTGTTTTCGCAGTATCAGTCGGCCAAGAGGGAGAATAAAGGGATCAAGGCTAAGTATTTAAGCAAACAGAGAGTAGTAGAGACATATGAGTTAGTACACCACTTAGCAAATATAAGCTCACTTCATTTAGAAGAGAACAGAATGTATAATGAACTCCTGATCTCCGTTAAACTTGACGACATTGTAAACATCATTGGAGACAAATAAGACCGAATTAGACTTGATCTAGAAGTTGCTATAATATTTTGTAGTTTGGGGTTGAAAAGCTTCCATAAATTAAACTCCCGCTAGGACAATTAAAATTGCTTGAGGAATACCCTTGTCAGTCTATTCTAGCTCCTGGCCTACATAGCTGAAATCCTGCTCAATCTTCTCTTACAGATTGAAAGTTGACGTGTGTCTTCTCATGCAGCACAAGAGTCGAGTCGTGGGGTTACACATGTGTATGCATGTTACTTTTATCCCTCGGTTAAGCTAAACTGCCTTGTGCGTCACGTCCTAGCACTTACCAAAACCGGTCTATTTTTGTCGTACGTCGTGAAACCATTTGATAAGGGTCTATATGTGCCCGTCTCTTGGTCATTGTGTTATTCATTAATCATTATGGGATCAGGCATTTAGAGATGGGCCGATATCTTCTTCGTAAATCTGTTTTGTACTATTTGTGCTGCTAACACTTTTGGTATTGGATCTTGATTTTGATAGAGCTGTTGAATCAGGCGATCGTTCTCGTAGATTGTTCGATAAAATACTAGATCGCTGTCTTAGATTTGAGTCATCAGAGTGTAGATTGCGATAGCTACGAGGAAGCGGAGGACCAGGTTGGAAAACAGCACCAAGAATTTCGGTGGCTTGACCCCGAGATAGTGTTTTACTCAGACCAGCTACTACATCGGTAGCATTAGAATTCCGTCTTCTAAGAGTGCATCGTGCGAGGTCTTCTTCTGCTTTCTGTTGTAGTTTTTCGCTTGGGAGAATGATAGCTCGATCTAGTTCATTAGGAAGACCACGATGACGTCCCCGAATTTGCATGGCAATTATAACAAGTTTGGCAACCATACCAAACTCTGCAGAGAATGAAGCATTAATTCCACTGAAGCCAAGGCTTAGCCCAACAGTGCCATAAGCGCTAACTATTTCAAAAAGGACAGCAAACATAGTGAAACGAGGGTCGCCACTCTGGAGACGGATCCCCTCAGAGATGGAAATGATGAAGAATCCCAGGGAAATGTACCATAAATCAAATGAAAGTTGATGTCGAAGATGAGTCGCGACATAGGAGTGCTCAGTATTTTCATCTTCATCAGCTGATGAACTGTAGATGCCCAGGGACCTTTCCTCATATACATTGGTTCGTCTAACCGAGATAGCGATTGGGAGAACAGAAATGTACATCATGACTAAATACGAGACTTGTATAGCTGGATGAAGCAAAGATAGATCAACCACTGAAAATCCTGCAGTACGGGTGGAGATCGCCTGAAACAAGCCGTCTAGCACTCGGAGTCGAACAGGCAATTTCGTGACAATTGTGTTTCCCAGCTGCATCTTTGTCAGTCGGTATCTCAAGAACATCACATAAACATACATCGAGGATAATAAAGAATACCAAGTCTACAGCGTTGAGGAATATTAGCATCAGAGCCAGCCATAGAGTTGTTTTCGCGGGGAATAGAAGCGTGAAACATCGGCGTGGATGTTCTAGAAGAAATTGTAATTCCTGTTCCACTCCGCTTCCGGTCGGTGAGAATCGTGCAACAACCCAGATTATGACCCTCAACATGATTGGAAAAGCTGTGTTTCCGATTATAATTAAAAATGACATAATTAATAGCGGCCAAGTGGCTGAACGAAAGGAAATCATACTATCCGGAGTAAGCGTAAAGCCCAAATCCATAAAGGCTGAGTTTGCCGTGAATACTCCCCACCATACTCTTCCTTGCCCACTAGCCATGACTACCTCACTGTATCGCTTATCTTTATAAATCCATGGAATCAAACATATGAGGCCAAATAAAGAGAAGCCCCAAAAGTATGATACTAACACAACAGCGAGAGCTTTGAGCGATCTATACTCAATTCCACCTAACTCTTCTCTTTGCTCAACTGAGAGGTCAAGGAATGCTGAATTCCGTCCTATGGTCGGTTGCCAGCTCAGGTATGGAATGGTGTCATCTTTGTCACGCGAAAGCACAGATCTGAGGTTTTGAAGGGGTTTTGGGTGTCTGTTATGTAAAAAACTGTTCTTGAGTGTTGCAGGCTTTCGTAATTGGAATATTTCTAGAATGTTCTTGGCAGCTGCTCTGTTTCCTGCTATGCGTCCTTTGAAGGAATTTATTCTACTCTGTGACGGTCCTGAAATATTGGAGTCTTGCCTAGGATGATTATTTACTTGTTGAGTGTCATTTTCGTTCTCTTCTCCACGGTTTCTCAAGTCTCCAGAAGATCTCTGATTGGTGTTGACATTGTGAGGAGAGGCTCCCGCGTCGGCATCTCGTGGACCAGGTATTCGTAGTACATCGCCTTTTTCAGGATTGCGTTGCCTTTGGAGAACAGCAATATGCTCCTCATGAGATCGTGGGCCGGGAAGACGAACTGTGCCTATGATATTATTTTCAACCTTTACCTGGTCGGCAAACTTAATTTGACGGGTCATTGTCTCATTTTGAGTATCGATAGGTCCAAGTCCCAATGCCTCTCGGGAAGTTTCATGCTCGTGATGAGTCTGCAAAGTTTTATCGTTTCGTTCAGTGTTTTTTGTAGAGGGATTATCTTGGGATTCCGACGGCTTTATTCTTGTTGCTTCCTGGGATATGGCTTGAACAGGCCTAATCTTCTGTTTGCTTTGACCTCTTTCTTCCAGATCATAACAAATATCGGTGGTTTTGGCTTTAGAGAAACTCTTATTCATAGTACGTCGACTTCTTCGAGCTTCGCGTACAACATGTTGAAATTTTTTTTCAAACCACCATAACCGTAAAAATACGACGAAAGTATTAATTGTGATAGGATTTGTTATCATAGGAATGGTAAGCAACACAACTTGTTGCCATGTGCTCAATAAATTAATGTCGATAGTATTTAATCCACTCTGAGTGGCAGACCCGCTGGCCAGGAAGAGTGCATCGATATAGCCGATATTCTTAGAGCTGTAAATACAGACAGATCCAATTAAGGACATTCCTATAATAAGGAAATCTATTTAATGGAAAGTGAGTGACTAAAAGTAGAAGCAGATAAAAGCCACTCACAGTGAAGAGTAATAAAGTTAAAGTGAGGCTTCTTGACATTTGTAACAACTGTAAGAGCTGAAAGCGGTTTTAGCATTGGACTGGCAGATGTTTCCATGGCAAACTAAGCTCGATGTTTGAATGGAAAAGCGGATGAGACTGGGTGAATGAAAATTAATCGTTAGTTGCAAAGCCACCATGCCTGACCAGAAAGACTGATTAGTAGTCGCTGGTCGGACCGAAAGGCTTGCATGTTGGGAATAGGATGTGCTGATATGAGCGAGAGGGTTGATAAATGAGGATGGGAATGGATTAATGGAAGGATGTTGCGATGCTGATGTTGCTGGGTAACGAACCGACTAGTCAATCAGAGTCTGAATCGAGGAGCCTCAGGCATCTCATTCCAAGTTGTCAGTTACAAGTTTATCAGTTTCCATTTAGATCACGCGTCGGCGGCGAAGATCAAAATTGGCCGGTGCTCATGAGCGGTGCGATCGCGGCGACAGATGTCATTAGGGCAGCGTCTGCGTTAGCAGCGTCTGAGGTATCATCAGTAGTGTCAAATTAGTGTCAGTAACTATATTAGCGAATACGTGTAGCTCAAAATGCCGAGACTCTGATCGTCCCTCCCCACGCTCATTTGGAGCTTGCACCGGATTCCAGGTGAGCCCCTGACTAGTCCCCGTGACTATGAACTTCCTCCATGGGTCGAAGGCCCGCTATCTCAAACCCCATAGAATTTTCTTCTTTCTTGGGACTGATCCTCATGCTTGCCCTATCCTGCCTTGTCTTGCCTTGCCCTACCTTGAAATGTCAGCTAGGCGAGGTTTTAGACACGATTTGTTCATCTGTGCGGCCTTTAAAAAGCTTGCCCGAGAAGGGATTGGCCGGCTGACTAGTTCAAATCAAGGATTTTCTTATCGAGAGAAGCCTTTCTCTTTGTTGACGATCAATCCCCAGACCTTGATCATTTGATGGTTGCAACAGTGTCGCCTTCACCTTCGCCTTCGCCCGACATCGCTTCAAAACTTGCAGGGCCCGACGCAGTGTCTTTCCTCTCATTCTCTGATTGAGATTCTTCATCTTCGCTGTCGTTTATCTGCGTGCTCACGCAAACTCCCGTCTGCTTCTCCAAATCAACACTTAGAGGAGTATTATCGCGGCTTCTATCTGACGTGTGATGGGCAGGATCTTCACTACCCCTAATCTCCTTGAAACTATTTACTATCTTACCCAAGCTCACATGTATTTTGAATAATGCGTTACGACCTGTAGTATCTGTGATAATTTTCTTGTCAATAGTCTCGGATACAAGATTGTAAACCTCACAGAGCAAAGATGGAGTGGAGGCCGGTGATACATGAATTTTAGCGAGGAGGGAAGCAAGTATCTTCTTTTCCTCCCTCGAAATCGAAGAATTAAGGCTCTCAATGATATCCTGAGCTAACTCAAGATGAACGTCTCCGTTGACGTTTTTCTTTGATGTCTCTTCTGAGCGTATCATATGATTGTGAGGGACATAACATTTTCGTGGGTCTGTCCAGTCTACAAGGTGAGCCCCAATAACAGTGAGACTGATCATCTCTCCTTCCGCCTCGTACTCGTCATCTTCGGTCTCATTAATTTCAAAGAGTTTGTGAAAGGTGTCTACGGCAACTTTTCGCATGCGACCTTGATTCTCTTGGCTTGAGTATGAATAGACCGAGAGAAAATATGCAAGTGTTTGACGCATGCTCACATTACTTGCAGTAGATGGGTCAAAATACATCACTACAAGTACTCTGAGGAAATCCTCGACAGCAGATGATGTGTTAGAGATGACGCGGTCAAGTAATAGCTTAGCTACTGCAATAGTAGCAACTGCTTGCACTTCAGGAGTTTTATTGCCAGATTTGAGAGCTTTAAGATAAACCTTTATGAGTAGAGGGTTCTGGTCTAAGAAATGCGCACCATGAGTCGCAAGGACATCTGTAATTATTTGGAGCGCAGTAATCTGTAGAGCTGGATGGCCTTTGGAGAAGAAATGAATGAAGAGTGTGAGATTTTCTTCGGCCAGAGATTTATCCAAAAGAGAGCAAAGACCTAAGCAGAGTAAACCACGCTCGCGGACAGGAGCTTCGTGTGAGCGGACTGCCGGTACAACCAGATTATTTAGCATCGCGATTAGATCCGAGTTTTGCTGAAGGTTACCTGCTACATTTTCCAACATACATTGGACTATGTGAAGACACTTGATGTTAACCAAAATTTCACGGATAGCTTGTTTTTGCTTCTCCTCTTCTGACTTCTCTGTTGCTTCACGCGTATTTGCCGATGAAAGCTCAGACTTGGCAGAATGAAAAGACTCCTCATTATCTCCTTCGGTGATGAGATCGTCTACTATGGTATCATGAACATCCGCTACAGCCTCCAATACTACGCTACAGAACTCACGTTCGCCAGAGGCGTCTGCAGCACATATATGTCGTAGAGATTCGACAGTAAGTTTGGTAATTTCTTCTGGTAGATCTGATTTTGATAGTGATTGGCGAAGCAGAGAAAACATTTTCCGGCGACCAATTTCGTCGGAGTAGTCAAGCGTACGTACTATATGAAGAAGTTGTTCTACAATAAATTCCTGTTCTACAGTATCTTCTTCGTCTGGATCTTCTCGTTGCTCCTGTCGACTAATTCTGGCCAAAGCCTCCATGAGGACATGAATATATCTCTCTAGATAAAAGGCAAGTCGGGTGACTTCTGGCATTTTTTCTTCAATTATTGATTCGTATTTATCGCTCTGTGAAGTTCGGCAGTAATCGTTATAGGTTCTTGCCATAAATACCGACTCTGCGGTTAGGGTATCCCAAAAGTCGCCTTCGAAGCATGTCTGATCCCTATAATCGGCACGACTATCCCAAAAACCCCTCATGGCTTCTAAAGCAATCCCACCAGAAATTCCAGAGTTCACAACATCAATTCGTTCAAGAAGCTCCAGGAGAGCATCAAGATTCGGGAGTCTTACTACCCCATTCCGAGCTACGTTTTTTCCACTACCCTCATCGGCAGCTTCGTTTTCGGCCGAGGCGGCACAATCTTCGATCCAACGTTCGCAAAAAAGCTTATGTGTTGCCCTTACTACATTATCATCTCGATCTCGTAAACCCCAACGTAGTAGTTTCTCGCGCATAGATAGTGATAAGTGCCTAAAATCTCCCAAGGTCGGCAAGAGTTTTGAGTAAAGTGCTCGTCTTATTGTTGGATCTTGATCTCTAGCACGTTCCAGTAAATTTGGTAGGGTGCTTGGTAAGATAGGTAGTTCAATGAGTAGAGTTTTTCTGACTTCAGCCGCTGGATCATTCTGGAGCACGCTCAAGAGCTTTGATAAAAGTTCAGCTTCATCAGTGTCCAAGACGCTTTCTCCTGCTTCTTTATAAATATTATTGCTCGCCAGTCGGCTTAGCCCGAGGACAGCCTGTACTCGAATCGTAGCCTCCTTGTCGTGGATTCGCTTGGTTAAGTCTTGTCGGAATAGTTGGTAGAGTTCTTCATCAATTAAGTCAAGAGAATTAATGATTTGCGAGATAAGTTGTGTGCTCCGATAGCGTACAGTTTTATCTTTGGCGGTCAGATACGGCATAATGGACTTAGTTAGCTGATAAGTGAGTCGAGTTGTGGGAGTGTCATGTTTCGTTATAACATCGCGTCCTTTTTTGTTAGATTGTTCTGGTATTTCGTCTTTTTCGTAGGCTAGCTTTATAAAAAGTCCAATAAATTGGATTAATCGATCTCCAACACTTTCGCTCTTCCTAACCGGTAGTACGTGTAAAGAACATCTCAAAAAATGATCAATAAACTTATCCTCTTCGAAGCCCTCCGCCATACTTTTCTTCTTGTGTTGATGCGATGTATCTGGGCAGCAAGCCTCTTGTAACTTGCGGAGAGTTACGACCAGTTTTCGATGACCAGCAATATTCCGTTGTGCATCGAAGAAAACGGTACTCATACGAGTGCGAAGCTCGCCATCAGTCGTTTCTGCTGGCACGTCAACGTGGTGTGCTATACTCCCTGAAGCGCGAGCCTCGTGTGAAGCGTCGTTGGCAACAACTTTGACCGTTTTTGCGCGGGCTGTAGATACTTTTGCCGGCATGATTAAATTTGTTGATGAATAACCTCAGGGGTGATGCGCCATTGATCGATTCTACCATTATAACCTTATCGTCGCGGTAGTTGGGGCCAGTTGACCTGGCAACAGGGTTGATTGATTTGGAGTTGAGTATGCTACCTAGTTTTGTTAAAATCTGGGTTGGATGGTGCAGTGGTACACCATTCGAGCCAGGAGGAAGCTGGTCCGAATCCAGTAAAACCCACACACCACTCTCTCTCGCCGTGATGTGGTCTTTTTGGGATTATGAAAGCACACTCGGTTAGCCACAGTGTTTTCACGCTTTTCCCTGTGGTAGGTATACACGGAAGAGGTTATACGCCGTAAAGGTTAACCTTGAGTGGTATCTGCAAATGAAATCTGAGTCTGAGTGTTCTAAACGCCAAATTAAGTCATCCTACATAGAGTACATATCTTCCGATAAAAACCTGCATGGGCCTCAAGGCGCCAAATCAGGATAATGAATTATTTATTTATATAAAACTCTTCTTCGAGGTAAGATGGACATAATAAGCACTGCTGTTGTCGGATGGTGCGGTGGTACATGGTCTTCGCTGGTCTCCGATGCACCGTCCTATTGACCCAGATTACAGGTATCACACGAAATATGAGTCTGCAGATTTGTAGCCGACAAATGAAAGCACCACACTTGCGGTGGAAGCGATATGTATGACAATAGCCTGCTTGGACAGCCAAAGGTTTTGAATTTCCCTTTGGTGGGTACTTACGGAGGAGGGTTGACTGTTTGTATAAGGAAACAAACCTTATGGTGGAGTGTTTGTTTTTATTGTACTACTTGGGTCATGAACTATCTAGCACATTGGGCTCCTCTCTAACCCAGGCCACACCTTGTACAGTGTTCCTATCCTCTCTTGTTACTTGAAAGGTCATTGATATATTGCCCTTGATGAATAGCCATTCAGCTTAGTATTTACCCGTGGAATTCGGCCACCTTTTCCACGGAACCTTTTACCCAAAAAAAGAAAAAAGGTAGCAATGGAAACTGCGTGCGCGGGAAAAGGTCTCAAAAAACCTGCAGCCCCAGCCAGGCGAGGCCTAGACACCGGGACCACATGAGGTGCGCATATTCATCTACATCTCCCTTCTTGGTAACAGTCGAGGTCGACTTGATCCAATCCACCTTCTCCGTATCGGGTGCTGGGTACGCTCCGGAAACTTATCGGATGGCTTTACCTCCATGATCAAGGGTTGGTGATGTGTAGGGCTCCGACCCTACCATCTGATCTGATGGTGTTTAGCTTCATGGTAATGGTGATAGGGGAATGTGTTGAGAGATGAAGACGATACAAACGGCGAAAGCGATTGGGAATCCTCATCGAAGTGAGGACTTTGTTACTCAATCTCGGCTCTGCAGACTCTACAGTGAGAGCTGGAGGTTCGTAGGGGACACCACTGACAGGTATTGAGAAAATTCCCCCACCTCATAGTGGTATTTGCGAATGAAATCCAGAGTATGAGTGTCTCTAACGTCAAAAAGGTCATTCAATATATATACATATCACGGGTCATGTGTCAAAGCTGTCTAGCTGCATTTACATTAAATAATTTAATAAAAATGTACTATTCATAAGTGAGGTTAGACAATGCACGTCATAAATTACACTAGACAGACCATGACATATCCAGCTCTCATCTCCCAAAACCGAAGAGCTAGCATGTAAATCACATTATCATTGCTATGGATAATCACCTTCCGTCGACAAACCCTGTGATCGGTCCTACAGGTAATCTACCCTTGATTACATTTACTTTTTGATAATGAATATGAACATCATTATATCTAATTTCAGCAGCTTGATAGGCGTTGTCTTTGGGTATTGTTGGTCTCTGAGAGCGATTTAGCTCTTTATCCATTAAAAGCTTTGAGGGTTCTCCAAATTTTTCATTTAGCTGTCGTAAATATGTAAACAATTCTACTCCATTATCTCCATTAAATTCCGTCTCGAAGGACCAAGTGTTAAAGCCACATTTGTTGAGTTTATGCAAATATCCTTGATACCAAACAAGCGCAGTCGATCTATGTGAGCCGTTCAAGATGACTGACTGATCGGCTAATACTAAATCCGACAATTTTACCTGCTTATCGGCTATCACTTCAAAGAGTGAAGTATTCTCGGGCGGCGCGAAGCCCCTGTTTACTCCACCGATTGAGATTTTACCTGCAAATGCTAGAGATGCTATATCGCTTGCTTTGCACGCGGAGTTTTTTATGATATCTGACATCCGGGTTGATTGCGATATTTGAATGAGAGAGTCAAGGTATTCGCGACATCTCTCATGTGTTATAGGATTGTTTTTAGACTGAGTAATGTCGCTGTACGGCATAGGAAATTGTTCTCCGACTATTCCTGCTACCATATCGCCAAGATGAGTCAAATACGAGCAGTAATACCTCATATAAGTGCCAGCTCCATTGATTTTGCTCTCAGTCATGAATATGCCAGAATTTTCCGCTGTTCCCGGAAATTGCTGGTCACTTGGAGCCGGATACACGAAATAGTTATTGCGACTAGTGTAACCGATTAATATTAGACGGTCACTTGTGTGCCATGAAGGTTTCGTCAGCAGAAGCACTGCGATGAGGCAGTGCATATCGACCACCGCCCCCTTTTGTTGGTTAAAGTTGAATGAATGTCAGACAACGCTATCAAATAAAGCGTAGCTTCCCTAGAAAAAATATTTTGCGCTGGTATTAAAAACTGTTTGCTCAAATTAACTAGTTTGAATTGTGATTCTTGGTTGCCACGTCTTTGGCCACTTCAGAGACGTGTGTGGGGAGTCGAGGCAATAAGGACGATCTGCAGCGAGATAGAAGACGGTATGTAAGTTGTTTATGAACTATTCTCGCCGGCCAATTTCGGGGATTTCGAAATTGTGGCAACGGGATCCATCATGACAGGACGCGAACCCGATGGATATTCAAGGAGCAAACTGTATCGTTGTGTGGATTTCAAGACGGTAAATAGAGCTCGGAATTCCTACGAATTGCACTATTTTTGTAGGGCAAGACTTCAAATTTCGGCTTTCCACTAGAATGGCTCATGTCGATATGAGCCCCACTAAAACCCACCAGCCTTTACGGAAACGTCGGCAGAACAAAATTGGGCAATTAAATTCAACATGAAGCGTATTTCCTACTATAAAACACCTTGAATGGGATCCAGGATGAATATGTTCGTGAATCGGACTGAGAATCTTGAAACCAAGGGCCAATACGACAAGCCGAGATGGTCTAGCTCTACCAGTTCATAGTCCTTAACTTTAACAGAAAATAAAGCGCAAGAGCACAGCCTAATATCGCAACCCCTGACGCAGAAGCTTGATAAATGCTGGCATAGTACCATATTTTAACATGCACCTCCTCTAATTAAGAGCGCTGTTCTTTCATAGGAATTCCCTATGCCTCCAATCAAATAGTGATTATTGGAGACTGAATAAGTCGCTAAATCGTTATTTTCAGGACCCCGTTGATCTTCTATGAATTACCTGTGGCGACCCATTGTCAAGTTATATTATATGATCTGTGTCCTATGTACATGTTACATAATTTATTTGACTTTATAGTAACCATATTCTGGCAGTTATTTACCAAGATAATCATAATATATATTCGCTTACCAAATAGTCATAGCATACTTTGAGGAGTTTTCAATTAAGGAAAGTACCCTAAACATTTGTGATTATCCTTACAAACTCTCAGTCAGCAACGGGGACAAAACTCAACACCTGTCAGTGGTGTCCCCTATAAACCTCCAGCTCTCCCTGTAGAGTCTATAGAGCCTAGATTGAGTAACAAATTTTCAACTCTGGGCTGAGTCATCTCCACCTCCGTCAAAGATACGCTTCCGATAACTCATAGGATGACAATAATGATGCTGGGAATGAGGAAATATGATGCGGCACCAAACGCAATAACGATAGTCAAAGAAGCCCTCTTTATATCACAACATTTGCTACCCACCGGCGGACGAACAAAAAGCCCACGAAAGCAAAGTAAAAGAACCTTCCGCCGTCAAGAAAAGCTGATTTCGACTCGTTAAAAATAGCGTCCCTTCTAATCTTTACTTCCAAATTTACTAGCCAGATGGGTATTTGAAATACATGATTTAATCGACAATTCCGGGTCCGTAGCGAATTTTGGGTGCTAAGCCAGGCTCCTTCACGGCAATCACTCTCGGACAAGATTTTTCTGACATCCTGTTGGAGATATCGCGCAATGAAATGGGCGCAATATTTACGGAACGAAAGAAGAAGCTGACTAAAAGTGTGGGAGATGTGCGTTACAAGTACAAGTGTAAGCGACACAGAGCCTAAGTCATAGCATAAACGAGTTTGGCACCATCTAGGCATAGAAAACCCCCAATAACCTCCTTGCGCCCACGCTATACAGCCGCTCATGTCTCCAATAGGTAGCCTGAAGCGCTGACATATTACCTATTCCAACCTCTTGAATACACACGAGGTCGTGTCGGGAACCTAGACGAAATGGAGTGCCCGTACGTCCACAACACTCCGTGTCTCCATTTCCAACACATCCTTTTACGACCTTCGGTTTATCCTAAGGCATGAATCTGGGGAGTAGGAAGGACGAGGCTAGGAAAATTGAGAGACGCTCTTAGATATATACAGGTCTGCTACACCCGGCTGGCCGGTCTCTTCGTCATAGGAGAGCCCCGCACCCAGTGATTTTTAAGACTTTTCCCTGCAGCTACACACCCGCAAATGGCCATCGTTTCGTTGGCTGGAGAGGAGAGATCATGACGGGATAACGGCTCCTCTTAGCGTGTACTCGAATGAAGACCTATGGGGGTATTACTGCTGGAAAGAAGTCGTGAAGAAGGCATAGATACTTGCGGCCTGTAGGCAGAAATGACCCACATGTCCTTACATACTCATAGACTTTATAGAACAATAAAAACATCACATTACCACAGTGGTTTCCTCCAATGTAAATATTAGAAATCGTAGACACCTGCATGGACCTATAAGGCGCCAAATCAGGCTAGATGAATTCAATTTCAAAAAATATAGGATGGGAATCTGCTAGTCTAATTAGCCAGACCTACTAAAATATTATCCTTAGACTTCCAATATATATCACATTTTAACAGAAGGATAGCTGGGCTTTGACTATTGGTACAAAACGGTATACGCGCGTAGATAAAAGGCAATCAACCATATCCAATAAAACGATACAATAACATTCACATATAAATCATTCCAACAATCCGTTCTAATCCTCTCGGTGTCATGTAAAATGCCTAGAGAATATTACATATTCCACCTATTCTTAGAATGCACATGGCTACTGTTCTAACATTAACCCTTCCGTCTGCTCTAATGGTCATAGGGAGATGTGCTGAGAGATGAAGATGATATAGACCACGGTAGCGGTTGTGAATCCTTCTGGAAGTGAGAACGAAGGTGTAAGTGAATCTCGGCCCTGCAGACTCTATAGCTAGATTTGGAGGTTTGTAGGAGACACTGCTGACTCGGGTTGAGTTTTCATTCGCCATGTAATAGGGAAGCCGACGGAGCGTGATTGGATGGCCTCTCGAGATGCTTCTGAGGGTCATGAGTGCGTTGAGGCAAAATCCTTTGTCAATGCTCGGAGAGCTACGTACCCAGTAGTTTGTGCGAGTCTTTCAAGATACCACCCATGCCCCCGTTCAGGCTTGGCTCTCATGAATTGCTATCGGTCCGTCTCCGCAGGCCCGGCGCAGGAATGGGGTAATTAGTCTGAGTCGTAGCGCATCCGGAAATGAGAGAGAGAGGCAACTTTCTACCCTATAACTGTCGATATCCGACCGAGTGGCCCTCAGAAACAGACAAGTCGCTGTTTCCAACCGACCTGACCAAGGAAGATAATTTTAGCAACGCTCTGTCCGATTCTAAGGCCCGACAACTCGTTCCGCGGTAAGAGCTGATGGCCAAATCTGCGGCTTGTGGAGCTAGGCGCTAATACGACCTACAGGCTAGATATCACGACCAACAAGGCAAAATGTCTACGATGCAGTGCGCATATGCCATCCTCTTGTTCACGGCGGGCCAGGCCCCGACGATGGATCGCTTAGTTATAACGAGTTTTGGCGCCGATGCTCATTACGGTGTCTACGCGCCGCTTCCGACCGGCCATTTCCCCGTGCCTTATGATGCCTCAGGCATCTACACGACCAGGAGCGAGGTCAAGGGACCCGGCACCTATAACAAGTACTACTGCACAGAGGACTTGAACTCAGCGACACTGGTGCAGAGGCTTGTTGCCGGCCTCACACCCCTGCCAGCCAGCAACCATTACTTCTTCGGCACGTCGCCTGAAGAGCTCGAGGCCTGCGAGGAAGCCATCCCGGAGCCGGAGGATCCAGACGCAGCGCCGCCTGCCATGTCTCAAGTTATGCAGACACCGGCGTGTACTGCGCGTGTCCTCGCGGGCCTGGCGCGGGCAGGACGCCTTTCCATCATCGGCCCGCACGACGCCTTCGCCCCGCCGGCCAGCGCCGCGCCCCGAACAATTCACGCCGACACGCCAGTGCCGATGGTTGATCTCATAGACGCCAATCACGCCTTCCGGCGCTGGGGCGCGAACCGTATCCGCGCGTTCGCCTGGTACCAAGGCCATCTACAACTCTTCGCCAAATGCCCGGATCAGGATGTTTGGTATCTATACCAGGGCATCGGTAACGAGACGCGCGGCGCCGACCACATCTCAAAATTCGTGAGAGAAATCAATTTTGACTACGGCTACTCCTCCAAACTCCTCCGCGTCGGCGAGGATCCCCATCAACCCGGCGAGGCCAACGAAACCTCCATCCATTACAAAGAAACAAACACTTTGTGGGATGCTCTCAGACCATCATCTCTGTGGGGCGTCGTAGGTAGGTGGGAAGATTGTGATATCAAGGACACAGACTACTACTTTTCCTGACACTGACCATTGTTGAAGCTCTGTTGTTGAGTGGAAGGGATGAGGTAGAGCTTAATTATCAGTAGTCCCGGTAAGTAACATCAAGTAGCACTTACCGTTGTTCCATGATTCTTCTATTTTCTACTTGCTCTAAATGGACCGACCAATACGTTACAAATAGCATCGTTACGTCCAAGTGCGAGGCCAATGTGAAGTCTTCCGGTCCCACACAACCAATCCGGCACCCATCAACTACATTATACCTACAGTTATCGCCCAAACATAGTTAAACTTGAGAAATACATAGAGTAGTATACTTTCATGAATGAGTCACGATGCAGGAGATAATTGAGACTTGGATGTAATAGTTCTTTACAGCAGTTGTTATACTATTTTTGTTACGGCGAGGGTCAGATGATGATAAGATCGCCGTCTGCTAAGATTGGAGATGGGTGGTCGAATGAGCTGGCGAGATACCAGGAGGTCAAAACTGAAGAACTAGAAGCTGGGACTGGAGGACGAGAGATCAAGACGAGTAGAAAGACGAGTGCGATTTTCGGACTATGGAGATATAAGATTGAGAAGCTGGAGAACTACTTCGTGGTAACTCCAGCTTCCTTAAGTACACTAGACTACGTAATGAATTTCAACTGAGGCTTTGGGATCATTAGGTTATGACTCCAGCCCGTCTAACTCTAGCTTTCCGAGTTTCCCGGAAACTTAGTTATTGAACCTTCCCCGAGATCCGTTTCCCGAGAACCTTCTCCTTAACCCTTGTCCTTGAACCTTTTCCTTAGAACCTTATCCTTGAACTTGCCTCAAGGGTGCCTAGCCATAACAATTTTGATAATTCTTCTAAACAATGCAAAAGGACGTATCCATCTACAAGCGGGCTAGTTCGCTTGAGTTGAGCTAGAGGATTTCTCCATTCTGTTCCTTCCCCTGCGTGGAATCACGTGCTACCTAACAACTGCTCACTATGAAGACCGAGGATGAGTAACGTCTGATTATAACAACCATCCTTCCGAAACACTTTGCCTCTCCACCCTAACAGTTTCATGTCACGAACTCCTCTGGGCTGACGTTGTAGTGGCCAGTGCCTAGCTCATGTCATGCCCTGTCTGCAAGTAGCAGCCCAGTCCATCAGGGGGTTTAAGTCAGGGCGCTCTCCCAGCAGCTGTATTTTTTTACTGATTTTAGATGCTAAACTATGCTCTATAACTCCTGGGAATCAAGGACCGGTGTACACAGCCGAGATCATGCTTCTCACATGCTCAAGTCGGTCTAACCGTGTGAACCATTACTCAACCGGTGGCTACTTAATAAAAAAATAGAAAATAAAAACTCCTAAAACCAAAATTCCAAACCAAATAATCTTATTTGTGGTTGGAAAAAAACATTCCCCGTCTCATTTTCCTACCTCTTATGCTTCGTGCTATGATCTAGTTAACACCGTCTCCGAGATATTTCTTTTTTTAATTATATTATTTCCCTGTCTGAGTCTACGACTATGTTGGACATGCAGATCCTCTCTGCCTATAGGCTAAGGATAACTATACCAGAAGTATATCCCCTCCTCTGTCTCCCATACAGCTCCCCTCAGACAGTACCCCCCTCACAAGTCCTCATTCGATCATACACTTAGAGGAGCCCTTTGCCTTTCATTGTATCCCCTCTCTAGCCAACAGAAAGATGGCCATTTGCGGGTGTATGACAGCCGGGAAAAATCACAAAAACCACTGGGTGTGGAGCTCTCCTAATACCGACATTAGGACTAAATCCGAACACACAGTGACCCTTCTGATGCGTTCGAAGAGGCCGGCCAGCTGGGCGTTGCAGACTTGTGTGCACATCGGGAAATTCACTCTCTGCCTTTCCAGCCTCCTTCCAACTCCTTCCCGAAGGTTGTGCTGAAATGTCAGAAAAGTGTCAACAGAGCGTGATCGTTGTATGGTAGTTTAGCCCAACTTTTTTTGTAGCGTCTAGGGCGCTGGGGAGCGCCGTTGACCCATCGACAATAGAAGTCCAACTAGCTAATTAGCTGAAATCTCGGTCTTGGCACCCACAGACGTTCCAAAGTTGAAAACATCTCGAAAATGTCAGACCCATTATTTACATAAAACGTCTCTTCCCTATTTCTTTCCACGCCCTACACGCCTGTCCTTCCTCAAGATGTATCACCCAATTAGAGTAACTGTACTTCATAAGCCAGCATCCGCACTTTGTATATTATGACTTGATTTTCTCCTCGCGGGTACACGTAGCGTCGTAAATTTGAAGTGAGTGATGGCCGGTAATGAATAAGGCAAGTTCCTGTTTGCAAATGGAGCAACTCTTTTATCGGTTGAGGACTCAGAAGAGGATAAGTGATGCATGATTAAAAAGTCGTCAAGTGGAGATATGGATGTATTTGCTTTCGACTTTGATTCCGGTGCGATTTTTTTGGCTATCCCAGATATGCAGGGCATGCTGAGCAATTACATCGGCACCACTGGATGGTGGAGAATTCGTCTTTACCAGCTTTTCAAATCATTGAATGTGTACTCAGCCGTATGTGTTACAGGCTATTGCCTTGTAGATGGGATACGGATGATGATGATAATTTGATTAAGTCCTTGGCTCTAGCCCAGCGCTTTGTGGCACCAGACCGGTGGAATCGGTAGGAATCACACCTGGAGGCGTGCTCTACTCGATCACACTATTTATACACTTATCTAATATCACAAGAGTATTTACCTTCAAAAAGCATAAAACAATAACGTGATAGGAACCAGCCTAGTGTTCCTCACACTGAAGTCCAATTGAATTAGTTCCGGAAATCGAAAGAGTTATATACCAGCCTTGAGTTTGATTTAGAGATATGATAGATGAGTTTAGCATACTAAGAAATCTACTGATATTTAACTGGTAGTTAAATGTGATTATATTGCTCTGTTTCTATATATGTGGCGAGAATTCCATTTACATATATGAATGTAGGGTTTTCTGCACTCTAGTGTGAGCTCCAACATAATTCCTTATCTAACCTAAATTGGAAGGTTGTTGGAGATCCTAGAGCTAATTTATGCCGTCAGGCATCTATTGGGTAATTGCTATTCATGCCAATGAGTGATGATATGGGTTAATCATATCTCATGGCGCCAGTGCATATTATTCTAATATATACTATTTGTTGAATTATAAGAGCGTTGGTCAAACATAATTATCCCTGTACCTTAACATAACGGAGTTATAGTTGTGATTATTATTTGCGTAGGAGTAAAAAGGGTAAGGCGTTTGGAGATCTTATATATCCTGTATTAGTAGTTCCATATTTGCGTGTAGATGAGCCTAGTAGTGGAACGTTGGTACGAGCTAGGCTGCAGCATTCTTAGGGAATGCTGAGACTGTTGTAACATTACACGTTTGTTCAACTCTATACTTTATCGAATCTACTTCCAGCTACAGTGTTCTATCCATCTAAAGGAATCATAATTTAATACTATTTGTCTACTGCAGTCATGTGGGGGACTATTTTCAACACCTGTCAGTGGTGTCCCCTACGAACCTCCAGCTCTCACTGTAAAGTCTGAATAGCCGAGATTGAGTAACAGTCCTCACTTCAATTAGGATTCCCAATTGCTCTCGCCGTCTGTATCGTCTTCATCTCTCAACACATTCCCCTATCACCATTACCATGAAGCTAACCACCATCAGATCAGATGGTGGGGTCGGAGCCCTACTCATCACCAACCCTTGATCATGGAGGTAAAGCCATCCGATAAGTTTCCGGAGCGTACCCAGCACCCGATACGGCGATGGTGGATTGGATCAAGTCGATCTCGACTGTTACAAAGAAGGGAGATTGTTAACATTTCTATCTTGATGTCGACTCGTACAAACATACCGTATAATAGTAACTCATATTGATACTCGGGATTGCGATGGATAGCAGAGATTGATGGTGTTTATGGCAGTGCGGGGTCTGGTAATTAGTGACAGAGACAGGACACATGGATATATATATCGCGCACTTGACTCCTCTTTGATATGATGATGCTTCCGACTACATTCGCAATGCCCATACCTACTCTGGGCTAATCACCCCTTACTATATCGGTCCTATCTTCTAATTAATCCCCTTTTCCCCCTTTTATCTTAAATGAAAGGTCATAATATTCTTCGTCTTGCTGGCCATCATCAAGCTCAGAGTTATGGACAGATTAAATCTTTAACAGAGATATAGATGAATATGCGCACCTCATGTGGTCCCGGTGTCTAGGCCTCGCCTAGCTGGGGCTGCAGGTTTCTTGAGACTTTTTCCCGCGCACGCAGTTTCTATTGCTACCTTTTTTCTTTTTTTGGGTAGAAGGTTCCGTGGAAAAGGTGGCCGAATTCCACGGGTAAATACTAAGCTGAATGGCTATTCATCAAGGGCAATATATCAATGACCTTTCAAGTAACAAGAGAAGATAGGAGCACTGTACAAGGTGTGGCCTGGGTTAGAGAGGAGCCCAATGTGCTAGATAGTTCATGACCCAAGTAGTACAATAAAAAGCACACACAAATACTGCAATCATGTTGCTGCCTTAATTACTTCAAGTCCCACCTCCACCACTAAATTACTGGCGTTCCAATGAATACGATTCTCGTATCAAGCTGAGGACGTGTGTGCAGGCAGGCTCCCGAAGCAGGTGGTTATCCTTGCAAAATTCGTGAACTTTCCGATACAGTTGTGACCAAGAAGTTGACTTGTAAATAATTCTACTGGCATAGAATTTCTAAGACTGGGCATCTGGCTGGCGAGCCGTCGGCAGCGAATAAAGTGAGTTGGTGTAGTTTCCAATCCACAAACACATTCTAGTGTGGCTTCTCCATGATGAAATCGACGGTGGTATTTCGCAAAGTTTCTGTGCCTGCTTTGAGCAGCTACAAGCTCATGGAGTAGACGTCGAGAAAGTCCTAGTTCAGGTGGTTAACGACAGCGCATTTGTAGGTCTAGTGGGCTGGACATGATGTCGACCACCAGACATCAATCAGCT